CTTTTCTGTATTCCCTTTTCTTCTTGGCGTTTCTTTCTTCCCCACCCCGCTATTCTGACACCTTTAAAATGGCCTTATACTCAACGCCTCATAACACTCTATTTACACGGTTCATAATACCACACCTGGATCGGCCAACGGATCTTTATCCACGCACCTATTGTGTTTATCTACTGATACGCCGTTCACACACGTACACAACACACATGCGCGCACATAGGCACACACATATAAGCACAGAGGTTGTATTTGGATTGATTTGCGCGCGTGTGTGTTGTGCGTGACTGTTTGTATAATTATTTGCTGTCCCATCTATGTAACTCTTAATCGAATAGTCAGAAGCTTAAGAAACTTTCATTCTTTATGACTGTGAGTAAATACACGCTGTGATTCATACATTTATTCTTGGAGATTGAGAAAGAGACAAAGAGCAAATGAGATAGATAGATAGATAGATAGATAGATAGATAGATAGATAGATAGATAGATAACAGTTGTCATTGGTTTTCTGAACAGGGGTAGATTTTTCCCCTTGTTTCCTGTTTAGGATTGGGTTTTCCAGTTCCTTCTAAAGTCTATGGTCCTAACGACTGCCCTTTCCTATGCTAATATAAGTACACACATTAACTCTCTACCTTGATTGGCTCTTGTGACGTGTATTACGTGAACATAAGCAGAAATAAATAGCTATGAACAGGCTTTGACAGATAGATAGATATGATCAGACTGAGATAGTAGATACTAAAAGGATAGATAGACAATTAAGGGAATCAAGAGTGTAGATAGATATAAACGGACAAAGATAGATAGATAGATAGATAGATAGATAGATAGATAGATAGATAGATAGATAGATATGAATAGACTGATAGGTATTGAAGGAATTCAAAGTATAGATATACAGAGAATCGCTAGATAGAATATATAGATAAATAGATATTTAAGGAATTAAAAAGGTAGATAGATAAATATCAACAGTCTGAGAGATATTAAAGGAAGTTAAAGCACACACACACACACACACATATATATATATATAGATAGATAGAGAGAGAGAGAGAGAGATTTAAGGAATTAAAATAGGTAGATAGAAGATAGATATTAAAGGAATTAAAACGATAGATAGATAGATAGATAGATAGATAGATAGATAGATAGATAGATAGAGTTAATTCTGTCAGTTACATAGATTTTTGAATAGCAGTGTTTGCCAGTCTAATTTTGAGTGATTGGTACAACCTTGTTCTTATTGCTTTAAACTTGATAAATAATTAAGGTTTGTTTTTGTATACCAACGACACGTGCAATACATATTTCCCAAATTTTACAAGTACACAAAGATTTGATAAAATATCAATACATAACGTCAATTCCCAGGCACATCGACTTGGTGTAATGGTTATCAAGTTTGTCTTGCTCGATCAATTATGAGTGAGTTCGATCCTCACTGGGTATTCAACACTTTTGCCAGATCAAGATAACGTCAATTCTTAGCATGAATGGTAGTAGTAGGCATCAATTTATCTTGTAAGATAATGGTAGCACCCGCTTTGGTTAAACATTGTACTTCTGCGAGCGGCGTTTGGAGTGGCTTAAAGAACCAATCTTTGCATGGCACTTTCTATCGGTGTGACATGTGAAATGGTTTAGTCTGACACTGCTCTCTCTGCTTCCTTTGTTGCCTTCTGATCTCAAAAAGTTGGTTTCGCCTTTTCTTCTTAGTGTTCCTCTTCGAACAGCGCGGCACAAGCCACGGTGACCATCTGCTAGTTGTTCCCAGCTACCAGAGTCAATGCCTAAATGAATATAAATAAAATTATTGAATAAATATATAGGTATATTCTCTCGTTAGACATACGTTGTTTCTTGTCTTCATTAACTTCACGATGCCATTTGTTCCCAAGGACGCATTTATGCTGAGGACACAACTATTCCCTTCGGTTTCAGTAGCAAATTCAACAAAGTAAAATTCCGACAAAGTAAAACTAGCAACGGCTCTCGAAAAGGACCTACAGTCACTCGTTAACTGTAGGAAGGAATGACTTGTAAATTTTAAGTGGCCCAGTGGATAAAAACGTTAAACCCAAAGAGTTGTGAGTTCAATAAGAGGCCACAGCACTGGTGAAACAAAACTTCGACACTGGAGTTAAAGAGAATTAACTGAGACATCCGAAAGAGGCATGGCATGTGGAACTAGAACAATCAACCCGATTGGACGAAATAAAGGGTTCGATTTGAAATTCCAATCACTTGAAGAAGTCCAGTGTGTACAACGGCCGAAACGTTGTGAATACGGCAATGAAGATGAGAATAACACTTCATCTTAGAGATAGAGACAGATATTGAAGAAAATTTGCAATCACCTGAAGAATGCCGGAGCGTACAACGGCCGAAACGTTGTGAATATGGCAATGAAAATGAGGATAAAAGTTCGAATAATGTAAATAATGATAAATTTAACGCGTCCCCCCCCAAAAAAAAAACAAACAAACAAAAAAAAAAAAACTGCTCTCATTTAATCACCATGCAGAATTTATTTTGCCTTCTGTCAGTATGGCTGATGCTAACCTATGAGAGCAAATCTTTGCACCTTCTTGGGCTTACGTTTCCCACTTACATGAAGTGAAATGGTTATATTGAATCAATTGCCAAGTCTTCTGCTAGGATAATTGGTTCACTGTGTTTTGACAGACATTGTTTTCGTCAGAATCCATCTTGCACATTTATAAATCAACCATTCGAGCGTGTATTGAATATTGCTGCCATATCTGGTATGATAATTTTCTAAGGCCGTAAGTATGGGACGCCCAGAGAGGATCGAACTCACTACACAATCGTAACAATCATTGCACCACGTCGAGGTGCCCTGTCATATCTGGTCTGACGATCCCTACTATATATCTCAAGATGTTTGACAAAATTCAAAGAAGGGTTTGTAATGTTATTGGTCGTGACCTGGTATCTCAACTAGATCTAACGGTTTTAATGTTGATCTAGCTAGGTGGAACCGTATGTTCTATTCTAAGAGTTACTTTTTTTAGCACTTCTGGCCTGTGGAACATCTTACCGATTTTTGCTTCCCAGCAACCTACAATCTTTAAAAATTTAAACGCCATCTTCTGTTTTCTTGATTTCTGTTCTTTGATTATTTCTTTCTCTCGAATAAAGTCTTCTCATTCTTATTTACTCCCTGTAACCCCTTGCTCCTTAGTGGCATTATCGCCTTGCTTGGGGTGAAATGATTAAAAAATGTTACATAGATACATGCATAGATATATAGATAGTTGCTTATCTTAGTTTAAGAAAAGACATTTTCTGTTTAATTCGGAGACATTTTAGCATAGTATCAATGGCTTGTGAAATCGACTCTTACATATGGTTATATTAAAGAAAATAAATGCATTTAAATATTTCGTTTTTAAAATAACTAACTTGAAAGTCAACGTTCGAAATTTTGAATTTACCTGCGCTCGAACTGCACCCAAATTCTTTGTAGACATTACTGAGCACCTTTTTGCAACTATCTCAGCAGTGTTCAAGTTCACGGATAAATTCAGGATATCAGATCAAAAAATCGCCCTCCCCATGTGAACAATTGTAAAAATATGGTAGACAGAAAGAAAATTTCAGGAAATCCTGGACAAGGCAGTAAAGGAAAGCGTGAAGAAATGATTGTCAGTTGTAAGGAGAAAGAATGTATTGATGTCAGCAAGAGAAAAACTCAATGCTTTGGTTTGGTTTACGGCGTATCAACCTCAATGGGTTATGTGATGCCGACAAAATTTTTATTGCTGTTAATATTCTGGTTTATCAAAAATCTATTTCTGGTAATATTTTTTCTTCAAAAATGTATCGCTGGTAATAATATTTTCTTTTTTTCTTTTTTTTTTCAAAAATATATTGCTCGTAATAGTTTTTTGTCTTCAAAAATCTATTGCTGGTAATAATATTTTACAAAGTATTTCTGGTATTAAAACCTATTTTTACACTTTCATAGTGTTTTTAACCCAGTTTCAGGGTTAACTATTTTCCCATAGCTGGGACCCTAACAGGTGTTACCACCCCGGGTCAGGGTGGACCTGGGAACACCAGCAATTAAGAGGTGGTTCCACGCTCCTCAAAACCTCCTGATCAGAGGCCTTGCTGCTGGACGTAGTTTATTGTCTTACCCAGGACGCGGATGTAGTTTAGTCAATGCGTGATGTTAAAATTGAGAAGTACAGAAGTTTAAATAATTGGTAAATTTTTTTGATAGAGGATGGAAAATATGACACCAAAATCGAAAGGCACATTAGCATAATAAAAAATGATTTTCAAAAAACTGAGCATTAGTACCCACCCCGCCACAAAAAAAAAAAAATCAGGGAAATTTCGTTTGAAACAAATAAAAGAGTTCTAAAGTGTTAGTTACTATCAATTCTTCTACATGGTAGCAAATAATGGAAAGTTTCCTAAACAATCGAAGAGAGGATTTGAGGCAACAGAATTGTTCTATAGAATGATGTTGAGAAAACCATAGACAGAACATGTGATGAAGTTTAAAAAAAGATAGTGGACAGACTTTATTTACACTATTTGCCCTCAGGATATTCTCCTCATCTTTATTTTTTTTATCACAACGTTTCGGCCGCTCAGGTGTATATCAGTTGTAACCACAGGGAATTCCGAACTTAACCATTTATTTAATCTACGCATTAGACTCTTCCACTGCCCATATCTAGTGATATTTCGTCAAGTAGGACAATTATCTGTGGAGAACCTGGAGCCTTAAACCTAAACAAACTCCTGATTAGTACTACTTGTCATGCTTTTCTTTTTCATCCTAGAAATTCAGATAGAAATAATAGGACGTTGTGGATACCCATAACCGACTACGTTCTTACGGAACACGACACAGAAAAGAAAACTGCGGAGTTAAAATCTTCATAATTATTAAAAAGCGGAATATAATTTAAAGTTTCCTTATATTAATCAAATAAAAATATGAAACCTGAGAAGATATGCTCTCTCTTTGTGACATGTCTTTTCAAGACATATTTCTCCATATCTTCCTCTGTCTTTTGTTACTATATACAATATTTTCTCCTTCATGACCGGTTTTGCCTATCAGGTAATTGTTCGTCTTTCCATTTGCTCAAACTTGTCGAGAGATTGTACAAACGGATAGTAGAACAAGGACCTATGATACGGGAGTAAACTTAGAGCTACAAAGGAAAAGAAGCTGTGGAGAGTCATGAGCAGCCACGATTTGAAAAAAAAAGCACTGCAGAAGAAGATTCACACTTGTCATTGTGTTATACTAAGCTAACGTTAAAGAAAAGGCAAAAGACGACGAAAGGAAGTACAAGGGCGAAAAGTGTTTAAAAAAGAAGTCGGTGTTTTGTGAAAACACGTTGGCGGATAGCGTCAGACCATCACGCCTTGTCTGTGAACAAGGGACGTTTCCTTTTTTTACACGTAACAACTTCTTGGGTGTTCAGCGTGATTACCTCGCTTACTTGCATATTTTTCCCGCTCTGTCAATGCCTTCGACATTTTTCGCCTTCTCATTCCTTTCATTCGTATTCTTTTTTTTTCACATGCCCCATTTTTCTCTCTATGTAAACATAAATTCTTACACACACACACACACACACACACACACACACATATATATATATATATATATATATATATATATATATATATATATATATGTAATTTGTAGTTTAAAAGCTGTAATTAGACCTTGCTAACCAGACACATCCTCTATAGCTAAATGATATAGCACGTCTGGGAAAATGATGATTCCGTGTAGGATACAGGTTCGATTCCTGTCGGAGGACAGGTATTTTCAATGAAATTGCTCGGACATTCAGGCTGGCAAATGTAGTTAATACTGTTTATTATAAACAGAGCATTTACTTAAATATTTGTATCAATAAAAATAACGTATAAACAGAAAATATATTAAAATAATTGTTGGACTTAGTTCATTTTATAATATATGACGTAATTTGTTTACGTTAATATATGCTTCGAGCAGATATGAGCGCTCGAGAGAAATCATGGGAAATTTGTAGTTTAAAAGCAGTAATTCGATCTTGCTAAACAGGCACTTCCTCTGTGGCTAAATAGTATAGCACGTCAGGCTATGTGACGGTTCCGTGTAGGATAAAGGTTCGATTCCTGTCGGAGGAGATATATTTTCTATGAAATTTCTCGGAGATTCAGGCCGGTAAATGTTGTTAATATTTTCTGTTGTAAACAGAGCATTTACTTAAATATTTGTACCTATAAAAATAACGTATAAACAATATATATAAATATACCGGGTTTAACAGCAGAATTGTCCGAATCGTGTAAGAGCAAAATTGTCCAATAATTAGATTAAATTTGAATCGTTGTATCTTAGAAATGATTAAAGATATCTTACTGGAATTCTCTAAGGTTGTTATAACTCTATTGAACTCTACTTTGAGCAATAAGAATGTATAATTACTCTCCAAGATTAACAGAAGAATTGTGATGAAATTGATCATAAACGAATATAACATGTTCAACGTTAATTAATCATAGTTAAGGATCAGAAGCTCATAAAATTTTAAAATTAAGTTCAAATATATATATATATATATATATTCCCAGATCATTTTCTAACTTATCCAATATAATCTTTGCCCTCTCTATCCTACTAAATTTCTGTACTTGAGTAACATTTTGCTTACATTTCACGCACGATTTCATTTTAAAGTCGTTTTTCAATGTTCTTTGAGCTGTCATAGCTGAAACACTTCTTTCACGTGCCAAACGGGTTATGAATTGAGTTGTATCTTTTCTAATTGATCTCTTTAGCTCTAAGTTGAAATGATGATCCCTCTTCCTGTTGTGACCTCTTCATCCAGTTTTTCTTTCTATTATTCTCCCCACTTTTATACTTATTCACAGTTCTCTTGAATTTATTCACTGTTCTTGTTCTTGAATGACTTTGAAGATGGAAGCTACAGTATTAATGGTGGTGCCATTACTGAAGACTTGAATGATCTTTTGCCTCTCAACATTACTCATTTGGGAAGACAGTGGGTCGGACACAAAACGATTTTAACCTGTTCTCTTTCTAACTGAATAACTCAAAGGGTTTTTCAGTTATTCTGACGACGAATGGTGCTGTTATACCCCGTTATGTTGGTATATATATATATATATATATATATATATATATATATATATATATATATATATATACCATGATGATCCGTTTAGGTGAAACCTAGGTAGGGTATTCCTTGCTTATCAGGATTTATTTTATTCATATATATATATATATATATATATATATATATATATATATATATATGTGTGTGGGGGGTGTATATATGTGTGTGTGTCTATCTATCTCTCTCTCTCTCTCTCTCTATATATATATATATATATATATATATAAATACCATGATGATCCGTTTAGGTGAAACCTAGGTATGGTGTTCCTGGCTCCTCAGGATTTATTTCATTCATCTCTCTCTCTCTCCTCTCTCTCTCTCTCTCTCTCTCTCTCTATATATATATATATATATATATATATATATATATATATATATATGGGTGTGTGTATATATATGTGTGTGT